TTATATAAAAAATTATCTTTTATATGATTGCTAATTTGGTTTCCCCTTAAAATCTCTCTTTTGGTTTCTTAAAAACTCTCAAAATATGATTTTAAATTAATATTTACAAAGTTTCAGAAAACTCCACTAGAAGAGAATTAAAATTCGTATAAAAAATAAAAAAAAATTTTAAGGTTAAAGATTGCTTAGAGTGCTGATACTAAAAATTACTTAAAGTGTCGACACCACATTGTAGGTATCGGTACTTCTGCTCCACGTTTGATAAAAACGGCCAAAGTCTAAGCACATGGTGTCGACACCTATCGACGACACACAATACCCGTGTCGGGTTTTTTTTATTTTTTTGTAATTTCTTTAATGGTAAAACAGCACATCTGGTTCTCCAGCTTTTACATAATGAGCGCTTTGATCCCATAATTTCGACTTCATTCATTTAGGTCCCTAAACGCAACCTTTCTTCTAATAATACAGTCCTCTCAAAACTTCTTTTAATATGCATTCAAGTCTTTTTCTTTATAAAAAGTGAAAATTATATAAAAAATAAAATCTATTAAAAATCACATTCTACCAATTCAAATAATAACAAAATCAAAGCTAAAATAAGAGAAAAAACATATAAAATGCATCTCATCAATCTCCCTCCCATACAAAAATAGAAGCTTTTATAGCATCGCCAAGGCAATCCACATACAATGGCTATGCCATTTTTTTTTTTCCCTTTCCTCTTGTGATTATAGTTGTGTTGTGTTTGTTAAATTCTTTTTGACGAATTTTTGGTCTGTACTTTTTATTTTGATCTAAATTTCATACCTATGTATGAAAGAATTAACATTTTTGACATTGAATAGCAAATACATTCATGATTTCTATGCTTTTGAGTTGCTAGAGAGTGCGGAGGGCTAGTCAAAATTAAGGCCTTTTTGAGGCTCCAATGTTGTGGAGGGCCAGAAGAAAAACACCATATGAAATTGTTATTGCACCAAGTCAGAGCTTTTAGGAAAATACAAACCTGTGGAAGACCTTCCAAACCACCATGCCTTGTATTCTCTTTCTTTTCCTGCTCAGAAACTCCCCAACGAAAGAGCAAAGCTCACCCTTTACTGGTTTGTCACGCATCTCATCCACCCCTACTGGATCAGAAGTTTTTAACTATATATGCTAATAGAATTAACTCGTCGAACATTTTTTTATTTATACCTTTTTTCAGAAAACTAGAATGAGACATGGATGTACCCTGTATGTGCCAAAGGAGGTGATGGTGGCAATGGTTGCAGGGGCACTTTCGATGGTAGGCCTGATGGTGGATTGTTATATTACTAGTGTTTTTTTGTCTGCAAGCTGTAATTAATCAATTATACGGAAATGTATTTGTGTTTAACACAGTAACTGTTGCTCTTCACGATTTGTCTACGTTTTACCATCACTACAATATATCTCTGTGCCCTTTCTAATAATCTTGACAATAAAGAGAAACTATTTTAGTAACATTGATGGAGAATTCTTCATGATATCTGTGCTTCTATCATGTGTTCGTGGAACTAATGTACGTGGGAGTGGTGGAAGAGGTGGTGATGTGATTCTGGAATGCTCCACTGCGATTTGGGACTTTAGTGGTGTGCATCGTCATTAGATCCTTCAAGGCCAAATTTAGGGAATTAAAAATTTGAAGACTTATTATCAACCACAGTAGTTGATATTCCTCAGATTGTTAAAGAGTGCTCGTCAGAATCATGGAATAAGACATGCTTTTCTGCAGCATGTAGAACGCACTATAAGGTATTGGCTTATGTTCTAGAGACTTTGCTGCTTTATTGGATGGTAGGAAAGGAGTCCCACCATGGGAACAACTAAAAGATTTAATCTTAGAACTGAAGCACCACCAAGAAGGCAGGTCTAATCAACCATTCTTGGTGGTGACAAATAAAATCGATGAGGTAGGTGCTGAAGAAGTTTATGAAGAATTGCAAAGAAGGATACAAGGTGTTCCAATCTATCTAGTGTGTGCTCCTAAAGGAAGGAGTATTAGCTACAAGTAAATGTCTATCATTGCAATCAACTGGCATTGCAAATACATTCTATTCAAAACATTAATACCAAATTTGCATATCTTGCAATTTTTTTAATTATGATATGATATTCCAGAGATATTTGTACCAAGAAAGAATAATTAATTAAATAATGGATAAAAACGATTGAGCAAAAAACACTTTTCAAAAGGGAAAAAGGAAGGGTAGGTAAGAGTTGGGAGAAAATTGAAGAGAATCATGTACCCCATTTGGTGATCTAGTGAAAGCAAATTCCACAATCAGGGGTTGAAGGCCATTTAAGGGCCACAAAATTAAGCATCAAAGATTAACAAATTTAACATATATTCACATCAGCAAGATAGACCTGCTGGCTTTTGCATAAAGTTTCCACAAGAAAGGACTCTTGTTCATGGATCATACATGATTATTCCAAATCATAGCTTTATTTCTTTCCATTTTCTCTCCCTTTTCAATTAACTAACCTTTTAGTGAGTGAAAACTATGGATATTTTTTTTTATTTTTTTATTGATAAAATATAAAAAAATGATTTATTAACAGTAAAATACTATAAATTAACATGATGCAACTTCTATTGATTCTTTTAATTTAAATTAAAATATGTGAATTAATTTATATTCACTCATTTAATATCGTATGATTTTTTTAAAATTTATAATGTGAACATTAAAAAATAATTTACATATTTGATAAATTTCGGAAAAGTCCCTTTTAGAGAAAAAAAGAAGAAGAAGAAGAAGAAGAAAGAAACTAGATCATTTCCTCGTAAATTGTATTGTCGATCTTACTTCTTCATATACAAATCTAGTTATGAGTAAATGCCAGATGAATGTGCCAAAATTTTCAGCATGTTTAGATGTGTTCATGTATCTTTCATGCATGCAGCATGCTTCATGGGTGTGCAATTTTAGTGCCTTTTAATTTTAAGAATGTGAAATTGGATACACAGAACAGATTAATGAATTTCACCGAGTACAGTATTTGAAGTCATAATCGAAGAAAGTTTAAACTTCGTTTAAATGTCAAATTTTAGTATCAAACTTTTAATTTTGAATTTTTTAGTATTTAAATTATTTTTTATATTTTTATCACTAAATTATAAAAAAAATTAAAATTTTTTGTCAACCAACC